ACGTATCAGGTATTTAATACTGAATTTGGACTCCTTTTGTCTTCGGATCCATGTTTTCAATGCCTTTTGATCCACTGGCTTTAAATGACTCGAATTGATACGAGACTCGTATCTAAACTGCTTCTCGTGCCTGTTTCACTTCCTCTTCTCGTACCTGTCATCTCCCGTACCTTTTTCTTAATTGTTATACTTTGACTATTTATCCAGTCCACGTGTCACGCCACGTCATCTTCAATATAAATTCAACTTTTTCCTAATACAGCTGATAACTTGTATCTGCGGATATTACTGCTATCTGCATCCATTAATTTAATATCCTTGCCAAATTGGTAGCGGCCACTGATGCATAACCGGAGAAGGGAACGTGATCAAACTGAGGTAATGAATGCTTTTATTTTGTTTTAACTAACTATTTCTCCAAGTGGAAAAAAAGTAGAGACTCCCCCAGGAAATACATCATATTCTCCAATGCAAGCAAAATTAAGCAAGCTGGGACTCCCCCAGGAAACACATGATGTTCTCCAATGCAAGCAAAATTAAGTAAACTGGGATACAGGATAAGTGCCTTCGCCATCAAAGTATAACAAAGTTCGACCTTGCTCGAACTGACTTACAGGCTAAGTGCCTTCGCCATCAAAGTTTGATAAGTTCGACCTCGTTCGAACTGGGACTCAGGCTAAGTGCCTTCGCCATCAAAGTGTAACAAAGTTCGACCTCGCTCGAACTGAGTTAAAGGCTAAGTGCCTTCGCCACCAAAGTTTGATAAGTTCGACCTCGCTCGAACTGAGTTACAGGCTAAGTGCCTTCGCCATCAAAGTCTGATAAGTTCGACCTTGATCGAACAACGACAGGTTAACATTTCGATAAGTCAAAATAACACCCTTTAAGGCTAAGGGCCTTCGCCAAAGAAGAAGAATTCGACCTTGATCGAACGACGACGAGTTAACATTTCGATAAGTTCGAAATAACACCCTTTAAGGCTAAGGGCCTTCGCCAAAGAAGAAGAGTTCGACCTTGATCGAACGACGACGGGTTAACATTTTGATAAGTTCGAGATAACACTCCTACGGCCAAGAGCCATCTCCAAAAAAAAGGGGGTCGACCCTTATGGCCAAGGGCCATCACCAAAGAAGAGGTCGACCCTAACAGCCAAGGGCCATCGCCAAAAAGAATTCGGCCTCGACCGAAATAACATTCGGCCTCTTCCGAATCAACATTCGGCCTCTTCCGAATCAATTTTCGGCCTCGACCGAAATAACATTCGGCCTCGTCCGAATCGACCTTACGGCCAAGGGCCGTCGCCAAAAAAGAGGGGGTCGACCCTTATGGCCAAGGGCCATCGCCAAAAGGAGGAGGTCGACCCCTATGGCCAAGGGCCATCGCCAAAAAGAGGAGGTCGACCCCAATGACCAAGGGCCGTCGCCAAAAAAGAGGGGGTCGACCCTTATGGCCAAGGGCCATCGCCAAAAGGAGGAGGTCGACCCTTATGGCCAAGGGCCATTGCCAAAAAAGAGGGGGTCGACCCTTATGGCCAAGGGCCATCGCCAAAAAGAGGAGGTCGACCCCAACGGGCAAGGGCCGTCGCCAAAAAAGAGGGGGTCGACCCTTATGGCCAAGGGCCATCGCCAAAAAGAGGAGGTCGACCCCAACGACCAAGGGCCGTCGCCAAAAAAAGAGGGGGTCGACCCTTATGGCCAAGGCCCATCGCCAAAAGGAGGAGGTCGACCCCAATGACCAAGGGCCATCGCCAAAAAGAGGAGGTCGACCCCAACGGCCAAGGGCCGTCGCCAAAAAAGAGGGGGTCGACCCTTATGGCCAAGGGCCATCGCCAAAAAGAGGAGGTCGACCTCCCCATCCGAATTTCTCAAACTACGATTAATGAAGTCCGCTCATCGAGCTCGACCAAGAGACGACCTCAATAAGCGAAGGGACTAACTGTATGGGTCAAAATTAGATCAGAGAAATTCGTCACGCGGAAACATAAGATCGTGGTCGGACAGGCCAAGGTCGGACCGTCATCAATAACCAAGGTCGGACAGGCCAAGGTCGGACCGTCATCAATAACCAAGGTTGGACCGTCATCAAACTGCTAGTTTGCTTTGGATTACTCAAAAGGGATATTCTACCGAATATTCCCTCTAAATTGTACCTTTTTTAGGATTTTCTATGGATACCCCCCTTATAAATAGGAGGGGAGGACTTCCCAAAAGGGGGGCTCTCTCTCTCCCTCTCCCTCTTTCTAGAAAACATGTAAACACACCTCCCCTAAGAAATGAGAGGATCTGTGGTCCCATATCTTCATCAGGCCCAAAAAAGGGTCATAAGGTTCTTGTATTTTACTATCATTCTTCTGGATTAAATGAAAGAAGATCCGTCTCACTGAAGATCGGGTGAATCTTTTCCTTTATTCATATTTTTGTTACTTAATGCATCTTTCTTTATGCTATTAAATCTGGTTATAATCGCCGTCAACATTTATACTCGACTATGTTTTTCCATTCATCTTACTCATCTCGGATCTAGAGTTAATTATCTTTAACTAGGATTTACCCCTTCATCTTCTTTGATTGATTTGCTTAAAAAGTATTTTACAACTTTTAAGTCAAACAGAGACAAAATGACAAATACGCACGAAATATGCATAACAAACACAGGGGAAAAAAAGAAGCAATACTCCAAAGCAACAAACAACAAAAAAGAAGAATAAAAAAGAGAGTAATTTGCAGTGAAATACTAACCTGAACACTCTGAGACCCAACGGAGAAGACAAGGAAGAAGGTAGACTAAGGGAAAGATCTAGACGAAGAAGACCGATAAAGAATTGGATGAGGTGGCCAGTCAATAAATGTCGCTTGTAACGGACACATCTGTTATAAGTTGTGAAAAGTTAAAAATGCCCTCAGATGGTCGACCATCTTCCCTTTTCTATATAATAGAAAACTAGCATCGAGAGTTGTTGTTGCCTCTTTATGTAGCTCTACTTAAGTCTAATAGAATGACTATGGTGTTCTATATTTAGAGATACTCTAAGGTCGTGTATGATCCTAAACTAATGCTCATTCCAGTTGTATCAAATGGCGTGAAGGGACTGAAATATGGTGTAAAATTATGTTGTCTGACAGATTTCTGCCACTATGCTCTAACTTTGTGACAATGTTGGTCACTTTTCTTATACTGGAGATAGTTTCTTTTTGACTGATATATGTTGCAGTAGCAATTGATGAGAGCTATTTGTTTAGCTTAGACATTAGAGCATAAACTTTATCCGAGTAGTATAAATTTGGGACTGGATTATAGTCTGAGGACACAGTGGATGAGATGGTAAAATTTTTGTACCAAAGTTGTGGATTTCCTTTAAGATTTCAGGTTGCCAAGCATTGAATTTCGAACACATAATTGTTGTTTGCAATACTTGACTATATTTGATGTCTGCATATTGTGCATCAGATACATTTCTGTTAGGCCTTTGTCTATCTTGAGCAACATGCTTATCTCTTGAGGTTGCACTTTTTTGTATTTGCAGAAAAAAGGCATGACTCGTGCCAGATTTATCTATGAAATGTCCTAAAATTTAAATTAATCTTGAAAGAGACAAATGCTGGAGGAAGATGAAGAAAAGACAATAGTGAACATCAACTCTCCACTTTTGAAAATGTGTGATACTAGACAAAAATGACAACTTGCAAATCTATGTTGAAACTACCATAGGCTTGAGCAGATCTTCCAATATCTCACGTGCTTGCAATAGCCGAGCATCAATTATCTCCACTGGCAGTTCAGCCTCCACAATAACATGAAGAGGCTCATTCAGGTGCTCATACCCCGGTTTGCCCCTCATCATTTCTTCCTTCATATGTCAAAAGTAAATTATCATGTTACNTTCTGCTTTTCCTTTCCACTGACTCTTCACCAAAGATTCATAGTACAATATCCCTCTGTCTCTCAGAATATCCATTTCTGCAACACAAACAAGAATCCTATCACAAGCCACTTCTTCAAGCTTTGGTGCTTCATCAACAAAAGGATTGATCAAAGGGTCATCATTTCCTTTATTTGATGGACAAACATATTTCCACCATTTATCCACCATTGCTTTTCTTGGATCTTTAACCTCTATACCAATAGGTTTTTCTCCCCAGAAATATGGACTAATCATGAGCATCCCAGAAAACTTCATTCCTAAAGCGCCTTCGTCTGATTTCCCAGCTCTGATTGCCATGAAGTGTGAAATATTAGCACCTGCACGAGTTAATTTCACTATAGTTACTAAATTATATCTACTAAAATCGATACATACAGAAGAAAATGTTATTTATTGTTTCAAATATTGTACCTAACCTAACAGTAAAGTCAAAAAATAAGGGTAAAACAATTTTTTGTTTGTTATATATGAACGGTTGAATTTCCTCGAAATAAGAAAAGATTCTTGTGTAGTAGCAATTTGGATAAAAATTTGCTTTATCTCACAGCTTCAAATCGTAGGTGTGACATTTTAATTTTTTTTAATCCCCTTACATAAATACTTGACTCGCTACAACCAGGGGCGAAACTACATGTCTTAAAGGGTGGTCAATCCACATTTCATTGAAAAATTACACTACGTATATAGGTAAAATATTAGATTTTAAAGTTGTATAACATATACAAATATCCTTTGCCGGAATTCTTTTTTTGACTTCTTTCAAGTTTGAACACCTTGAGAAAATTTCTGACTTCGCTGCTGACTACGAGCTAATATAGCATATGTGATCGTTGAAGTAAATAAACTTTACCCACTAAAATAGTAAAGTAAACGTCAAATTATTGTAATTAACACGTACCTGCACTATCTCCAGCCAAGAACACACTATCAAAGTTAACAAGCTCATTCAACCAAACTTCAGACCCATGTTTTGAGTTATGTGCAGCAACCCATTTAAGAACAGCCCAAGAATCATCATAAGCTGTTGGAAGAGGATGCTCTGGGACTAATCTATAATCAACCGAGACAAGAACAACATTAGCTTTGGACACAAACACATTGAGTGAATCATGGTACTTAGGATCACCAACAGAAGATATACAAAATGCTCCACCATGAAAGTAAACAACTAAAGGAAGTTTCTGTGATTTTGTTGCTGAATTTGGTCGATAAATCCGAGCAGAAACGCCAGTTTTAGGATTAACTAAAACATCTTTGGAATAAACACCAGTTTGAGGATCATAGGTTGCTGGTGCAAATTCAGTACCTACAAGTCTTTTGACAGTTCCATTTTTGTACACTTGTAAATAAGGAAAAACATCGTGGACAATTTCAAGATTGTTGGTTGTGTCCATTTTTTGTTTTGATGGGAAAAGATAAAAGAGAAGTGATTGGTAAAATAATGGGAAGGAAAGAAAGATTGATGGTATACAAAAGCTAAAGACACCATTTTATGAGGCTTATATTGCGGCCTATGACCATTTAAGTGGGGCGGCTCTGCTTTTTGTTTTTTTTCATTCTTTGAATCATTAAATTAATTTATTTATTTAACTTTTTTAAATTGGGGGCATTTGCATATATACCCGCTTTTTGGGTCACGTTTTAACTTGTACCCGCTTTGCAAAAAAAATTACAAGCGTATCCACTTTTTCGCGTAACTTCAGCATACTGGCCTGAAGTAGCAAAGGCAATCACGCAAACTTCAGCATTCTAGTAGACGGACCTGAAGTAGCAAAAATTGCTGAACCAAGTGTGCTGAAGTTTTTGTTTGTAATTGCTGAATTTAAGCATTCTAGTGCTGAAGTTTTATTCTCTATTTGCTGAAGTTTTTATTTGTAATTGCTGAACTTAAGCATTCTAGTAGCTGAAGTTATTTAGTTCATTTGTAAAAACTTCATCACTAAATAAGCTGAAGTTTTTTTGTACTGAATTCATTAGTTTTATCATAAAGCTTTTTCAAAAAGCTCAGCAGAAGATGCTGAAGTTATTTAGTTCATTTGTAAAAACTCCAGCACTATATAAGCTGGAGTTTTTGAAAAAGCTTTCCAACATACTAGATAAATAATCACCTTATTCTTTCATAGTGTATTACTACTATAAAATAATCAGATTGTCAACAGTATCTAAATCATAAATTTTGGAAATAATAAACGTGAAAAGAACAGAATTATCATGAAAAGAATCACTAAGTGTGACCTTAAACTTCCCGTATCACAAATTATTGTCTACTAACGTACGTAATTATTTATAATTTATTTTTAAAAATAATCTGATAAACATACAGCAGCAAAAGAAAGAAGAAGGAGAAAACGAAGGAGGAGAAAGGGGGCTTAAGTTGTTTAAAAAGTGGGTACAAGTTAAAACTTTAAAAAAAAAATGGGTATAGATTAAATGGGGACGACCAAATAGGGCGTCCCGTGCAATTTTTACTTTAAATTGTGGTTCAAGATAATTTCCGGACCTTGATTATTTGACCATCAGGTACTTACTAGGTGGACGAAAGAGGGTTCACTCGAATCCCATTTGTCGAAAATTACACAGTAGACATAAAGTTAATATTTGTTGTGTATATATATTAAGTGTAAAATCCTCTTAACTTCTTTGCGTGTTTAATTTTTTTATTTTTTGAATCCTCTTGGTAAAAAATTCTGCTTCCGTCGCTAATTAGTATCTTTGATCACTTATTTAAGTTCACCCGACATTTTTATTTCTTTGCATATTTAAAACCGACTTTCCATAATTTCTATCCTTCTTCATTCACCTCTTGACTACACACTTTGGTGCATTCATCAACTTATTTATTAATTATATATTTCTTAAAAATGATAGTGCTTAAGTCATTTTGCCTAGTCCACATCAAAACTTAGGTAGATATATATATATCACCTTGTTATAAAATAATAAAAGAAGAAGGGTATTGCAGAGAAAAGTAGGGAGAGGGAATTCTTATTGATTTTGGGATGAATTACAATGGAACAGGACCCCTCTATTTATAGGGGAAAAGTGACTTAGCCACCAAGTAACAAGCCTTAAAATATGGACATTCACCTTAAATAAAAATTCTATTTATAACACTCCCCCATAAATGTCTATTCAATAGATAATGTGCCTCGTTAAAACCTTAACTAAAATAAAACACAGTGGGAAAAAATTCTAGTAAAGGAAAAAGAGTACACATGTTTAGAAATACGCCTTTTGGTTGCCTCGTTAAAAACCTTGCAAGAAAAACCCAGTGGGATAAAACCTTGTAAGGAAAAAAGAGTACAACACGTATTAACTCCCCTTGATGAGAGCATCAATTCACATCTTTAAGCCTTTGCATCCCAATCTTGTGCACTAGCTTCTTGAAGGTTGACGTCGGCAGAGATTTGGTGAATAAACCCATATTAACTCCAATGAATATGTTGCACCTTGAAAATTCTCGCTATCACATTATCATGCTTATAGTTATAGCAAGATACAAATGTGCACAAATTGCACTTAGGATGTAGTACTTCATGACCAAGAATTCTATATGCTTTAAGCAATTTAAATCCTTCAGAGATTGTCATATATAAGTTAAGTCATATAAGTCATATGAATGGACTTTAATTAGATGCATATCAAGTTTTCATGTCATGCTAGACAAATAAGATGTCGAAAACTGATTGCACATATCATTGACTTTATACTTTTAAGTGTTTGAACAACATGTCCAAAACTACATCCCTTTCATATGAAACCAATTCTACTTGAATTGTTTCTCTTCCATTTTGGCTAGTATTTTTGTGCATGTATTCGACATACTTAAGATCCTCATCTATACTTAGCGCTATGATAGATGTCGTCGACGAGCATTTTATATCGGTTCCAATATTTTTTCATAAAGACATAACATAGAGATCTCTTAATCCATGTTTTCAGGTACCTGAACCTCTCCTGAGATTTTATGAATGTTATGTCATGTGATCTTTTAGATCGCTTACCTTCTTATTATGATCATTTTGATCATTTGCTCATCTTCTTTATCAAGAAGTTTATTTGAAACCGATTTGTCTATACGCTTTAAGCGTACCATAGACTTTGTCCTTCTAGGACTTATTCTAATATGAGCATTTACAGTGAGAATATAGTTATTTGGGTCAGCAAATGCGTCTGCATGCTTTGCAATATATTGCAAATGAATTATCCTTTTATGAACTTCAAGTTCATATTATTTTATTTGAGGATCTAGATGTACACATGATAATTCATTCCACATAACTTTTTCTCGATTGTTTATCATGTCTCCCCTCATGTTAGAAAAACTAACTTGTTTCCTCAACTTTAAGAACCTATATTTGTGCGTTATGGTGTTAATTAAAATATACACCGCACATCAATAAATAAGATTGGAATTATTTGGTTCCTGACCCTGAACCACTTGTAAGGGGAGAAAATAATATACTTTCGTATATAACGTATATCAAACTGATATAGCTAACTTTTTTCTCATAAGCAATAATTTAACTATTAAATGGAGGCACTCAATAAATAATCTTGCTAAACCAGTTATGATGTAAACCAACTTATCAAGATAAACTATCTCGAATAGAAAATCTGGAAATTATGCTCTAAATTAAATTATTGAGCAGGTTACCTCGCAAACACCAGGTTGCGGGTTAATAATAATCTCACATGTAGTCATCTCATAGATGCCTATTATGTGGTATACATGGCAAGTGAATGAGCTCATATTCACCTTTGATATTTCCAGCATTCATGGGATACAATCCCAATTTTAGTTGGTATATTAATTAATGAGAACAAGCAACATAAGAGAATTCGTAAACTTTCTAGTTCTTTAATATTTACCCATGTGAATTCTCTTTTATTTTTGCACATTATACTTAAATGATGGCTAAACCAATAATACCAACTGGATAAATTATCAATATTGATAAACTTCAGGTTTACACCATGACATGTGCAATTATGAATAAACTCCAAGCTTATTATGATATGGGTTTTTATATCAATAAACTTCTACTGTGGCATCCTTTTGTTTGTTAATAATAATCTCACATATAGTCATCTCATATATGCCTCTTATGTGGTATACATGGCAAGTGAATTGGCCCATATTCACCTTTGATATTTCCAGCATTCATGGGATTCAATCCCAATTTTAGTTGGTATATTAATTAATGAGAACAAGCAATATAAGAGAATTCGTAAACTTTCTAGTTCTTTAATATTTACCCATGTGAATTCTCTTTTATTTTTGTACATCATATTTAAATTAACATGGCTAAACCAATAATGCCAACTGGATAAATTATCAATATTGATAAACTTCAGGTTTACACCATGACATGTGCAATTATGAATAAACTCCAAGTTTATTATGATATGGGTTTTTATATCATTAAACTTCTACTGTGGCATTATTTTGTTTGTGTAGTGCAAACTGGAGAATAAAATGAGTAGCTTTTCACATACATATTGCCCTGCTATAAGTTGTAGTAATAGAAGATATTAAATCTTTCCTTTATTTATAGTCTCAATATAATCAACCGCTTTCGCATATACTTTGGAAACTGAATAAGTTTCTTTGAGACTTACTACAACACAATACCTTATTAGTAATCAATTGTGTTTCTCCAAAATAGTATAATTGGCTCTTGCAGAGTTTTCAATTAATTTTGTAGTACCACATATTCATCAACATCCATATGGTGAATATCTCTTTTAAAGAGAAAGTTATACCATTATGGTTATGGTCAAAATTATATGCAAGATCTGTCTTGCATTACCGTTGTCTTTTAATAATCACAATGCCAAAATATTTTGGCATACAATAAGTACGTGACCCATGACCATTTCATAGTAATGACATTATTTTAATATTTCCTCTCAACCCTCATTCTAGAGGTGAGTGTGGTATATACCACTAGCACGCTCATATTCTTCAAAAAATGTATATGTATTCATAAATCACATGTTGTCACATTCATATCATGAATGAACCATAATAATTTATATGTGCTTTACAAAATCTCATGTCAAATCGATTTTTAAACATTACTTTCACAAAGTGAAGGATTATTTGAGAATCTTTATTGTTCTCATTACCACAATGATGACGATTATAATTTCGTCTATTGCCACGTCCACATCCATTGATACATTCAAAGTAATAATTTTGTCTGCTTTCACACTTATCATATATTGCTATCACATTCTCTTAGAGGAATGAGAATGAAGCAAATTCAATGGCACAATTTCCAATTCTTTGCCACAATCATACATGAATTTGATCATGGCAAGGTATAGAGATTTTACCACTTTGGGTGGTTATAATTTCTTACAAACTCTATTAGAGTTATAATCAAAATTTATTGTCTTTGCTTGTATTTAAAATCAAATTAAAAAATTTCATGAATTTAAAAGAGAAAAATAAGGTAAAATACTTACCTTAAATCCAGA